AAAAGTTTAAGCGTACTGAGAGTACTTTTTAAATATTTCGACGTACAGTGGGTATCAAATTGTTAGGGTCACCGTACTAAAAATACGGTTTTTTTTAGTGTTCGTGTAGAAATAAAGTAATAATATCTAGGTTTTTACACTGGATAATTTTCAGTAGCTGTCCACTAGAAATACACAAAAAAGGTATTCTTTGTTTATGTCATTATAAAAACACAGAATCGTAAAACCGTCAGTTTATGCAGATGATCATATCCATCTAATTACATACTGTATACACTGGATTGCAGAGGCGATTAAGGTAAACGGTATGGAAATTATCGAAAATTGATTTAACCCCTTGACTGCCACAGTGAAAAAGGCCGTACGTAGCCAGATACGATTTATTTCATTTTTGAAGTCATAAATCAACGAAAGTATATACATTTCGTTAAGAGAGGCTGCTGGTCTTGTTTTCAATTATACTGCGATATTAGTTCCCCACAAAATTCTGTAACAATATTTAAATAATCCAGCCTTCTTTGTAATATACGTGTCCCCTATACATATTTGGATGACATGGCAGTCAAAGCGTAAAGCAATGTACACCTGGGACCACATCGATTAAGTACTTGTATTCACTTATATTAATTTCGGATTGTTAATCTCGGTATTATATCACCTTCTTCTTTTAAAAAGAAAATATTGTATCAATGCGTTCTGTTTCTTCGAAAATGTAAACTCGCGTATTTATTTATATCATGTAAATTACGTCGGTTTGACCTACAGCTGTATGTGTATAAAAGTAGCCTCCAAATAATATATGATTTTATTTTTAGAGGGATCGATTCTCCTTAAGCATTCCAATGGTCGTTACGCCGATTCCAACAGAGTAATAAAAGAAATATTTTCAGGTACACCGTACCCGTCTGTGTTTCCTTTATCGAGACGAGGACGAAACCAGTTCAGTTTGCCCACGGTTCGAGTAAATATCTTCGTGGTTATCGTCGCCCTTATCGTCGACGGGAACAGGCTTCGATTCGTCTTTGGCGGATAACCAGCAAGAAAGTCCGCGATAATGGCGGGCGAATGGTTTTTTACCGGGATCAGACAAGTCGATCACGATCCTGCTCGAGATAAACGCGTGTCCGTACGTTGAAATTTCCTAGTATTTTATCTTCAATGCATGTTTATTCAATGTTCGTTTATTTTTTTAGCTTATAAAGCGGTGGGGTAAATTCAAATGAGAGGCCACATTTGTAATATCTTCCGATTCGAAGAAGATAATTACATTAATTACCTATGATGCGTTTTTTTATAAGACCACTTGTGTACCTAAGATAACAAGTTAGTGTCTGCTCGACTTTCACGGCATGTGTCATATTCAGGAAGCATTAAAGGAAAAACTGTGGGAAAAGTTTCGACAGAATTCTGTGTATGTGGGATCTGGGCTTTTTAATCCACGGGGACGACGGCGCCGTCGAGATAATTAATTCCAGCTGCGTTGATAAAATTCGCCGTCCACATTCCGTTTCTATCGAAAAAATTCACCGACTGACCGGTATCCACCGGCCGACCCGGCGACATATCGCACGACTAATTACTAACGACCGTAGTAATTTAGAAAGTGCATCGTGTGTGGCATCCCCCTGCTTCTTCCTCCCGCTATCTGCCCCTTTAAAGTAGACATTCACCGCCAATAATAGCTTCAGATGCGACGATAAATAAGATAATCGAACGATACACAGCACCGAATCTCGATAACTTTCGATGAATATTAACTTTTGACCGCCATAGATAATTGAAATAATTATATCGTGTAGCAATAAATCATGAATGAAATGAGGTGCAGTTTTCTAAACCTTGAATCGTACTTAGTGGTTCATTCTTGCTGGCTGAGCCACACGACTATAGACAGCACAAATCATTGCAACGTAGGTAGCAGAACCATGGTTACTACGTCAAACCCAAAATATGACATTATAACAGAATTAAACAAACCTCTTAGTCTTCAGTGATTCTAAAATAATACTCCTATCTTGTTGTTATCACTAATAGTGTTAATTTTCGTAGGTATTTTTTAAACCTCTCCATACTCCTAAAGCTAACATACCTACCGTGTGCCTCGTATCCTATCCAACACCATAAAGCACACAATAAAGTAAAAACATGAGAAACGATTAACAAACTTCCTATTCTACAATTAACCAAAAAAATTATTTCACTAATTCTACGATAAACGTTGTTCTGCTTCAGACTGAATTTGCATTAAACAACCTCCCCTTAGTGATAACCCGAGGAACCTCATCCCCTATAATTAAGCTTCTAATATCAGCAAACGAGACACCGCGAACTGTTGCGCGCAAAGCCCCGCCGTAAAAAAAAAACAAAACAAAAATGAAGGTGCAGCGGGAACGAAAGGAGGCAATAAAAGGATTAAGAGCTACGTATAACCAGTTCCCAGAAGGTGGTACACGGAGGCCGAGGTTCACGTAAAGTCTCACCCCTTGGAGTTCATAAACCCCTCGGCCAGTCGAGATAAACCAATAAAGCAGCGCGATAGCCGGCGAAGCAGGTGCAACGTGGGCGGTGAGTTACCGTGCGGGTCATGGGTCACCATGGGCCCAACATCCACGGCAATCCTTCTCACACACTGCATTCTCTCCCCTTTCACCTTCCACGGGGCCTCTCCCGGGTAACATCCTTCTAACGACGAGATCCTGCAGGAAACACGGATCGTTTCGCGGCACGGGTGGAACGTGAGTCCCTAGCGATGGGATCGAAATCAACCGAGGCTCGAATCAAAACATCCACTTTGACCATTCTTGGACGATGTACCGTTAGAAAGTGTACTATGAACTTTAATATAAAGCAGTGAGTACCTACACTGATTTTCATTAACAAGGGAACCTCGGAAATACCAATCATTCCGATTTCTTTTAAAACTCCGCAAGTTTGTAGGGGATTTCAGTAATAGCATTGGGCAATTTTTTCTTTTTGCTAATATTCGGTTCTTCAGGGTGAACATTCACCCCTCAAAACTATTTTCGTATTTTCCTGTATATATTGCAAACTGTAGAAAATATAAAAATACTGGTACAATAAAAATTTAATGGTTGCCTATGCTTTGTAAAACTGTGTAATAAAATTGTTAAAAATTTGCTTTTCGAATGAAATATCAGCAAAAACGGAAGATTGCCCGATGCTTCTATTGATGCCTCCTACAAACCTGCTGAGTTTTAAGAAAATATCCGAATTTTCGTAGTACCGTGATTCATTTATAAATGAAAATTTACTCATGCATATAAAAAAAGCCCTTGTTTCCGTAGTATAAAATTCTCAATACTCTAAAATTTCTCCCTATTGCAAACTTTACCCAAACGGCCAACCATCGTCATGACTTATAACGTTAAACTGTAAGTACTATGAAAGCAAAAATCTTGTTCTGATGATCATCTTACAATTTTTTTACTCCTGTGATTATTCAAGAACCGAAGGTCACAGTCAACTCCAGGATTCGGTCGCCTGTGATATTCAATATACGTGAAACGATTACAAAAAAAAGGTGTCCATTGCCTGCAGGTGCACAACCGGAAATATTGAACTCTTCAAGGTGTATCTCTTCGAAAATTCTCTCCCTCATTCACGAAGCTGTCTGTATTTATCGCCACTGGTATCTTTTGCATGTCGATAAATTCGATTGAAAATTTAGAGGAAAACGCAAAGGCGAGTCGCCATTGTTAGATCGCGGAACGTAGACGGGAGAAGGATAGCTCGCCTTGGTGGGCCTAGCTTCGAGCACGCGATACATTATCGAGAAGTCATTGAGAAACGCCGAAGGTGCACTACACGGGGACAATTTACGTTGCATAATGTAATTTTTCGTGCGGGCTGTATGGACTGTTAGGTAGCGACAGGTACAACTGGTTATTCATTTTTTCTCTCGATCTCTCTGTCCCGGCGGAGGCTGCACGGATTATAATAAAACAGGCGATATTTTCCCGTACTTTTATCGGATATCGATAAATGCAAATAACCGAGCATTAAATTTCCCGCGTCCCGTAACTTCTGAACGTTTTTATTTTTTTCAAGCTGGGGAGCCCATAGACCTCTGGTCGAGACAACTACGGAATTTAGTGAAATACGAAGTTTAATCGTGAAGTATTAAACTAATAAAATGTTTATGAAAATCCTAACGGTGTAAGAACCCACTTTTATTATATACTTTGAATTCTTCAAAGAAATTAGATAAATCATATCTTCAATAAGAATATTATTAATTAAATTATGAAGTACATACCTATTCTCTTCGTAATCCTCGCTCTTTAATGAGAAATGGACAAATTCATTATCTACATAAAGAGTTTCGAATAACGAATAAAAGATGAAAAAAATGCTTCGCCATTAGATGATTGTAATGTTTAAAAAAAAGTAGCTTCATTTCTATTAGATATATTTTATATCTTGTTGTTATTTTACACTGTTTTTAATGACTTATTTAATAGTGAGTAGTCCAATTATTTTAATTTTTAATTTTCTATGGTTCAGTATTTTTAATAACTGAAAAATTAACATCAGATACTGTGTTTCACTAATTTTTTGTCACTTTGTGAGTTAGTAGGTTTCTGCATAAATGGGAGAAGATTCCCGCTATTTTTCATTACCACGTTATACACGTTCTAGACAAATGTCCCAGCCGAAAAATAAACAGCAGCCTGTGTTAACTTACAGAGCAGCTCTATACACTCGGCAACTAGCGGGAATTAGTGGGAACAAAATCCCTGTTGTTAAAATGCGCTGGAAACCAGGACTAAACTTGGCTCGTGCAAACATAATTGTACGTAAATGCAAGGTTCAAATTATCTTCTGTTCCTTTCCTCTGTTCTCTTAAAATTTGCTGAAATTTTTAAAGCATCCACAACAACAACAACATTGACCAGGGATCCTGATTTCATATTATACGTTACTGACGTAAACATCGTACGTAACAAGAACTTTCCAGTGTCACCTGGTCGATAAGGTGTTTGAAATCAGTTCATAGACAACGACTTTCGTGGAAGGAGAATCGGTTAGTGAGCATTTTTCAAAATGAACGCGGTGAAATTTGCGGAAGAATTCACGCAGTTACTCTGCCGATGGACGAGGACTGTTACAAACGTAAAGTATACATGTTTAACGCAAAATTATAAATAAAAAACCATGAATTAAAGGACAACCTTTAGTGTCTATAAAAGAGTTTATATTAGTAACTGTTGAGAATTAGAGTTAGTAACTATAAAAAGGAATATACAATGGTGAATATTCAAGGTGATATAGCAATTTTTTATGCATGTATTGGGTAATATTAGGCTGCTGGACAAATTGTGATAATTGGCGAAAGTATATTAGAATAGAAATTATTCTAAAAGAATGAAGGTATTCGGAATCTTACTGTATAACCGTGTCAGCTGTTTTAAAAATTGTTTAAATAGCGTAGTAATGATAATTTCTCAGGAAAAATGAAATCCTTCCTTTTTATTTTATGAAAATGTGATACGTAAAATTTATGCAGCTACTTCCAGATATCGCTATGTACAATAACTACTTCATAACGGTATTGTAGAGTCTGTATTGAAATTTAAGCAGAGACATTGAGAATAATTATTACCAGTAAATATTACCAGTAAAATTAACATACGTCAATATTTCCGAACGTTTTAGGAAGACGGCAGTTCCGCTCCTCTTTTAACCAACAAACAGCTATTAAAGATCATACAGGATGTGATACAAGTGATGCACGGAGTGAGTCTACAAATTCTTGATTACTCTACAATAACAACACCTACGACAGGTATCGCTGTTTGCACTCCAACTGCGCCTGTAGTAGCTAAACTTGATCTGCATCAAAATAATACATCGATATCAAGGTTGTTAACATGCTCTTGGTGTTAACATTTCGCGAAATTTCGACTGTATTCTGTATCTTATTTTAACGTAACAATTTTAGATTCAGATCGTTGGACACTTTGATAATGCTGAATGAATCGAACGATCATAAGCCTGATATCAAGGAAGAAGCATCGAAAAATGAGGAAAAATTGGATATCGACGAAATTAGGGAATGCGACACATTGCCTGAGGATAGAAAGGTGTTTCTTTAGTAGTATAATTGCCCTTCGATATATTATTAAGTATTCTTTTCTTTAATAGAAATATTGCTCCATGGTTCACTTATAATGAATAATGATTGAAAATATTTGTTATTCTTCCCCTCAGTGGAGCTTTACAAAATCTTATTTGTAATTGTTGGCTGAATATAAAACCGAATAATTGGCTACTCTGTCTCTTTGGAAATCAATAACATAATCTGAACTAAGAAACTAACATAATAATATACACTGCATGGCATAACTATAAAACCACACTAAAATGTTCAAATCTTTTGTATTGTGGTTAAAATAATAACGAATCAAGTATGTCATCTCTGAAATCGTATTAAGAAATAATGTTTCTTCAGAAAAGGATAGATTATATTCCTTAGAAAATAAGTGGTTCTTTTTTATTTCAATCACAAATATACATAGGGATTAAAGATTTTAAGGTAGTTTTATAGTTATGCCACGCAGTGGAGTATGAATATTATTTTCACACTTTCAGTTCATCTCACGTTCGAGTCCAGCGATTCACGTCAGCTCTGTCGCGAGGTCCAACACGTTCGTTTACGAAGAAGATGAAAAAAACGAGGCAAATAGAGTCGCTGATCGAAAGGAGAGCAACGTTTTCCATCAAAATGAGACGTCCGTTTGCGACCTCCAAAAGTTCTTAAAAAAAGTAAACAGTCTGCGAGATTGCGCCTCTGACATCTTATCGAAGATCGACGACTTGAAACAGGTTGAGAAATTTATTTATTTAATTACTGTTTCGCATCTGCCACCTGTTCCTTGAATCTGTTGATTCCGACAATACCGATTTCAAAGAAACAAAATTTTGAATAATTACGCTTTTACATTAAGACCACTGTATATTAATGAATTTGAATTCCACGAAATTCAATTTGACAACGTCCTTATGTTCCTTTCTATTAAATTCAGCTTGAACGAAAGCCCGAAAAGTGCCTGGAATAATAAGTAACTACTCCGGTTATTCATTTACACAGTCACTTCATCGAACTAATAAATTATTAATAGACTGTGAATCTTTATGCAAAATAACATTTTATAAAATAATTTACAGAGACAGAATTAAAACAGAAACTTTCATTTCTTCTTACGAGGTTCATCGTGTTAAGAGTAAAATAAAAACTATGTTCAATCTAATGGAAGATTTATCTTCTACTGTATTTCACATACTCCTTTATGCTATAAACGCACAAAACCCGCAGTCTATTTATTAGTATTAATCTCATTATTATACAGGCTGTTTAAAAAACAGGGTCTAAGAATTTAAGTGCCTATAGTACTCACCAAGTGGAGTCAAAAATGTCTAATTAACATAAGTCCCAAAACCAATTCATGACATCATTTTTCCTCAATACAGTAAATGCTCGATTAGTGCTCGAAGACTCCTCGGCACTGAACATTTAATACTTCCTAAACTAATGGCCATATGCGGCTGAAACAAATATCACTGGCTTCAGAATTCCAAGCTCATTGTATTAAACCTTATTAAAAAGTCAGCGTTACACCTAGGGATTTCTCCTTGTCAGTGACGAGGGCCTGCGAACACTCATCGAGGATTTAGTGCATATATCTGATTTTCTGGTCCATTGTTCTCGAAGTAAAAAAAAAGAATATAAAATTCACAGGATGTACTCCCACAACCCACGAAACACATTCGACGACTATCCAGCATGGGTGGTTTTCCCGGAGTGAACCGCACTTCATCGCTGATGAGATCAATTCCGCCGCCTAAACCTCGAAGATCCGTGTCAGACTTTCCAGGCACGCCCACGTCCTCCAAACTGAACCCGACGATCACGACCAAGGAGAATATTGCGTCCGGGAGGAGCAAAAGTTCGGAAAATTTTCAAAAGCCGCCGAAAATCACGTTGTCGAATCGTTCGCCATCGTTCTCGGTCCCATTCACCAAAAAGTCCCCATTGGACAACATCAAACCCTCTAAGAATCCTAAATACGCACACGTGCAGAGCACCATACCGAAAGCTTCGACAGGTAAACGAAAAAAGCTCAACGAATAGACCGAAGAAAGCAAGAGTTTCCATTCTATTGTTTTAATGGAAAGAAAAATGAACGTTATTGTTGAAGCAGAATAAATTAGGTGACTATAAAGCGGAAATGACGCTTTCGAGAGAACGGAAACGTCTAAATTTACTCGGCGGGTTTGATTTTGTGGTAAAAACATTTTTACAACGCAAAGAAAATCAGAATCTTCTCTAGTTATAAATTAAACGTGGATATGTAAAGTCTTTTAAATATGCAGGGTGTTAATAAAAATTCATTTTGTCATAATCTGATGATACTATATTCCGATAGAACATGTCAAAAATCATGATTGTGTTTTATGTTTAAAACTCAACATTCTAACAGAGCTTGATTTATAATTGTTTCTTGAAATAACGAAAATTTTTTGTTAAGTTTAGTTACCACAAGCGTGGTTGGAGTGCAAACAGCGGGATACCTGAGGAAGGTGTTTTCACTGAAGAATAATCAGGCATTTGTAGACTCACTCCCTGCATCACCTGTGTTGCATATATTACATTGTGCTTAATAGTTGTTGGTTGGTTACGAAGAGAGTGGTATGGTTACCTTATTTATATAAATTCCTATATCATTGCAGTCTTGTACTGCCAATAAAGTGTCAAGTGTGCATTGTGTTATTTGTAATAACTTCTTATTTTTATTTTCAGTGTTCTTCTGTACAAACATGCACATTTATAATGCAAAGGAAAATAATCCAATCGGTCTAATAATTTTCTCTCAATCACTCACAACATATGACCCCTCAAGAAATCTGTGTATCGAATGTAATTGACATTTCTTCACAGATCAACATAATCTTTAAAAGCTTTACTCGATCTTGAATATGTTCATACAACGCTAGTGTATCTTGGGCCTAAACCTCGCAGTTTCGAACGGCTGATTTAATTAATTCGCGTAACAAGAACAACAAGCAGCGCGTACGTTCGCTTAATTAGGTAATGATCCGAGCCATTTGAAATTGAATGCGCGATTTTCGATCAATCTCCGGCCAGCCTAATTATCGCAATCGGAACCGGCAGATGCAAAGTTATCTTTGGCATCTAGGAACCTTACGATTTACGGTATCCTTTCCCTCAGTCGCCTTCGCCGTCGAGTTAATTTAATCTGCTGGGAACAGAGAGAGGAGAATCCCTACTTGCGGCAATCGAATCGTCACGGTCGATTTATATCGCTCAGATCGTTATCGACGATTATTTACTTTCATCTGTCTCAATCGAACAGGCCCGGTTAATTGTGTTAAAATTGCATTAAACAGACCCGGGACTTGCTGAAGGCGCACGTTAATTAGGAACCGAACCTGCGTAGAGCAGGAAATTCTAGTCGATGTGAAAACGAAACTTCGAAAGTGTTCGGCACTAGCCACGCACAAGAATCAATTAACTTCGAATCAACCCGGCGACAAGAAAGGCTTGGCAAATGATGCCAAAATGAGGGAGGACGCTGTTAATTTCATTTCGCGACTCCACGAATCACCCCACCCCCTCCCTCTTGGTTCTTTCGCGTGTGGCTAAAGGCCGGCGAAAATTACCAGCTTTCCTATCCGCCGAGACGAATTACCAATTTTCGGCCGGTGGCACGGCCTTCTAAATTAAATTTTCACGTGACGGCGACTCCCGACCGGTCATTAAAAGCGAATTTAGCCGAGATTGGGCGCCCGGTGAAAAGCACCATAATGGCGCGTGTGCCGGCCTACCCTCGATCGAAAAAAAAGCCCGTGATGGGCGTTTGACGAAAAAGCGACTGGAACACTGGGAGCTTAGGCGTTGTACAGTAAATGAAATTTACATTTTTTAAAGTCTGTAGTTTATATCCATTGCTTTCCATAAGTGTATTACTTACGTTTTTTTCTTCTATCCTAACCTCCACATAGCTACATGTTTACCAATCAGACCTAGTAAAAACAGAATTCAATTTAAGAGTATCATCCAGCACCACTACAATGATCTGGTTGTTCAGATACCTGAACTGGAGATTTTATGAGTTTATAGTATATACAAGATTGTTTAAAACTCAATGCAATTAAATATTTAATAAAATTTACCGAGATTTTCATTTTTTGTTAATCTTAATAAGACAAATAAAGTTGTATTTTACTCCAATCTTCATAAATTATTCTACAGAAATCTATATTTGCATAAGCATCAGCATCTGCTGATAATCATTGATTACTTGAAAATATATCTAACTTCACGAATTTCACGTTAGTCGAACGATGGTACAAAAAGTTCCTTATTATAGGATTCATCGTGAGATTCCGTGCGTGCATTATACACTTGGCTTTTATCCACAGATTCGCCCTCCCAATTCCACTCCGGTCACGTTTTTATCAGCGTCGTCCCCTCTGGAACGCCTGCGAAAAACCCCACGCGGTCATTTTAAATTCATTAGCCGATTCTGGACGCGACTTAAACGCGTCAAAGGAGGCACGAAGAGAGGGCCGATTTACCGCCGCTTTCCGACCCCCTCTCGCCCCTCTGACCATCATGATTCTTTGTAATTATTTTCAGTCTTGTTCCATCGGTGTGGATCAAAGCGTGCATCCAAGAGTGTGAAATCCTGAATGGCGGGGCTGCATATAATGGCTCTAAAATTTGAACATAATTACAGCGAGGCCACGCTGTGCGCGTGTGGGGAAAAAAATTTCAATTTACGAAAAGCAGAAAGTGTTCGTTTTTCGGGAGAGGCGAAATTGTTCAGGAGTATAATGCTTCTTTAAGGGGTGTTTATGATTATTAACCCTCGGCAACGGCGCCGGGCAGGCGAAATGCCAGGGGACCGTAGTGACTCAATAATGGCGAACGGTAAATGTATTGAGAGTGAAAATTGAAACGGAAATTCGAGACGTGAGTCTTTACTTACAGCGCATGGTTTGTGAATAATAAATATGAACGTATATAAACGGGACAGTTTAGGAGATTATAACACAGTATTACGATATATTGATTTAGTATGAAGCTTTTGATGGGCTTTTTGCGAATGATATGATCGTCATTGTTTAGAGGAAACAATAAACAATTATGTTGTTATGTGTGTCGATGTCAACATATACAGTGAATTATTATTTAGAAATAAAATTAACGTCATTAGAAATACAATTGAAATTGAACTGTCGCAAACAAATTTGAAAATGAAAGTGATAAAAACCGTGAAAAACATATGTGATCAGATTGGTGAAGCTGTTATATTAATTCAGATCTGTGGTAAATGGAAAATTCGTTAATATAATTTGATCATCAAAATTCAATAAATAATAGTAATTTAATGATCATTACGCATTTCATTAAAGTATCATTGAATTATAAGTAAAATTAATATGAATATTTAATTCATCGAAAGATGGACCACGAAGAGACTCACTCACGATATCGAACGTTCGTAAATAATAAAGTTAATTTTACACGGAAAGGATTGATTTCAGGACCTATGTTAATTCGACACTTTTTACTCCTCTCGGTGAGTACTACAAGCCTCCAGAGTCTCAGACCCTTCTTCTTTATCATCGCATAGATCCTCCTGGAATCACACGTTGCTTCCCTCTCCCTTCCCTGGATGATAAATCGTGGCACTGGTCCACCAGCACAATAATTAAAAGCGACCGATTATAAGTGCATTTGGCCGGGCTAATAACGGGTTGCTCCGAATTCCCGCAAATAGCTATGTCTCAATTAGAGCCCCGTACCCCCCTCCTGCGTTTAATTGGCCGCGGTGCAGTTTTAGCGGAATGTAAAGGGAACTCCAGTGGCTTTCAGAAGGTAGAGGGACGGGGGGGGGCAGAAAAGAGCAATTACATTGGAATTAGAGCAGGCAATTTCAGTGCGCGAATTACGCACGAAAGAAACCCCGCCAGGATAGAGGAATGTCAGCGTTTCTGGCGAGAACTTCTTCCTTAGGAAGACGGAGAAAATTGTTGAAAACTTCGACAGGAAGATGGAGTCGAACGTATCGCTGCTCCGTTGCTCAATTACCTCCTACCCACCCATCCACCCCCTGCTTTCGTCGGAGATTGCGCGCATCCGTGAATGCAGATGGTAAATGAAAACTTTGTTGCAACAGCTGCTGCCCCTCCGACAGGAATTAAATCAATTATGTCCACGCGTTTCTATGTTTTACGGTCTTTGCCTCGGTATGTAGTATACCCTTTTCTCGGCGTCCTTTCGCTATGGATGTTTCAAAATTAATATAATCACGCATCCGATTCATTTACACTCTTCCTTCCATTCGTGCTCGCTCTCCTTCTGTTAACTATTCATCCTGCGTATTGCACTCTTTGCAATTCGCTAAAACTGTCTTTGATCTTTTATTCAGCCCCTTAGTTATCGAACGTTCGCTGAATCCTCCACCGTGATTCTAAGAATCAGCTTAACCACCAGCATATAAATTTCTTACACACGCACAATAACCAATTATTCTCGTGACACGATATAATAATAACTTCTCAGATAAATTGTATTCGGGGCATACGATCCATTGCAATCGCAAAATATTCCTCAACGTGGTCACGTTAAGCGTGTCTAGAAGTGTTGCTCAACCATCGCAGGACGGAAAAGGATACCTCTCATTTATCCACGTAGCCCATTTCGGCAAGATATCCCTGTCGGGGGTTTATGGGGTATCGAGTAGACCCCAAGAAGTCGGTGTTCCCCCGTTCCTGGCGGGATCCGCGAGAGCGTGGCAGAAATTATACGCTTTCGTGGTCCGCGGCGCAGAAGAAAAGGCGAACTGTAGAGGGGGTGGTGGGAAGAGGGACAGTGATAAATCACAAATTGCACGAGCTGGTTGCGGCCGAAGACAAATTGGCTTCGGAGTCATGAGCTACGCAGCGGGTAATAATATAATTATAGGACTGCCAGGCACTTTCGACGTTTCGGTTTCAGCTTCTTACCCCGGACCGTCTATGCCTCGCGTAAGCGCGGCTGATTTACAGCTCAGGCAGCCTTTTTTCTCTATCCCTTACCCTCTCCCTTCCACCACCAACGTTGCGGTCACGTGGATGGATTTCAATAATATCGGTGCCGTGGAAGCGCGACGACCGTGGATAGGTAACCAATTATGAAGAGGAACGAGCCCCAGCGAGCTGCCGCGACGAGGCTTCCCGACTGCGTAATAGCCCGCCGGAGCGAGAAAAGGCGGACGTGTAGGTAATGGTCGGTCATCGTGGGACTTTGATTACCCTTGATTAAAAGCCGTTCCGCGACGACCGTGACATGTTTAGGAAACGTTGGGCCCTTATTGATGGTAAAACGATTGAAAAATGGATGATCTTAACGGATTCAGTTATCCCGCAATTGCGAGCTTGATGAAGAGCCACGAAAAGTAACTAAGTGAATTTTGTTTTGCCAAGGCACCAAGCTCGTTGTAATTTCCATTCCCAGCAAATGATCCGTCGCAAGAAGCGCCCGACCGGCGCGGTGCGCGGCGCACAATCGGGCCACGATAAAGAGATTAAAAAGCGTCCGCTGACGCCGCTGCTAGTCGCAGCACCCGAAGATTGCCACACAGGAGGCTGCGTAGATAAGGTCCGCATGCAAAAGTGGATCATTACACGGGCATAAAGGCAAAGCAAACCGGGGGCCACTGGGGCAATAAATACTT